TGGCGCTGCGTTGGATCCTGTTCGGTCGTTGGAGTTTTCCGGTTCCAATTATGATATTGCGATATTCTAAATAAAAGATTTTGTAACAAACGTCTTTTTCTCCAGGAGCACGAAAATGAGATTCTTGGGCTAAAGAAGGTAGATTCGGAGTCGGCTTCAAAACTGCGTGAGTTCTGTGACAAGCTGCTTCAAAAATTGGACACAGACCAAATGGGAGGAGACCGCACGTAATTAGAAAGCCCAGACAGCCGATGAGTTCTTCGCATTTCTGAAAAGAAGTCACAAGCCTTAGATTATTCAGCCACCTTGGATGCTCTTGTGACTCTAACAATTACTAATAGTCGGCCTAGCTTCATCATCGACATATCGGATTTGGAAATCTCCTTGAACATAAGGCTTGCTGATCCTGCGTTTAACAAGCCACAGAACGGGTCGATCTCTCATTAGAGCGAGTCTTTTCTACGAGCTTTTGTCTGTTGAGCAAATTATGTTTTTGCAAGGACTATCTCTTCTGGTTCGTGACCGGTGGTTTTGAGAGACAGTGAAGTACCTTGTTATTAACTGCTGGCCTTACTCCTAATAACCACGCTGGTCAGTTAAGCGCTCCAATGGGTGATTTGGTTCGGGGTTTTTGGGAATTTGAAAGCTTGGAAGAGCCAGGAAGGAAGAGTTTAAATGTAAGCAGCACTTTGCCAACAACTGCGATTGACTTTGAAGCGGAGTGCATAGCTGCTAGGAGACTCCTATGGCCAGGCTTATCGTCGGTTTCTCAATTGGAAGCGAGGTCACCAAGGTCCTTGGTCTTGCATGGGATCTAGTGATCGACCATTTGCTATTTTAATTTTCTGTTCTGGGGAGCGAGCACTATGGGAGCGAAGCTGTTGGCTAATCTGATGCATAAAGTCAAGGGCACAGGCATCATCGTCAGCCTTTCAAATTCAGTGTTTTCGTGGCAAATCGTGTGGCTGCCATATAAGAACTTAACGCCATTATGTTTCGAAGGGCAGAAATCCAGCTAACATTCTTTCTAGAGTCACAGTTCCCGATGTCCTAGGCTAAATGTTTCAAGGACTATCATATCTATTAGATGTTCACTAAAAAGGCGATGTCTTGTCTTCCTGATAACATAAGCCATTATGGACTCACTGTTGCAGATATGCATTACGGCACTCGGACTCTTCTTGTTAGGAAGATTCTTTCTCTCGGAAATGTGGAAAAATCCAGCTCCATTGCATCTCTTGCACCATTTCTGGATGACGGTGAATTCCTCCGAGTGAGTGCCGGCTTACCCATTCGTCTCTGGACTATGATGCACAACTATGGTGCACAAAAAAAGTTGCAAAAAACTTTAGCAACTCAAGCACTATGTGTTTTCTCTACTAACACACTTCTTCTTAAAAAAAAAAACTCTCTGTTCCGAGAAGGAGGCGACTAGGCCAGTGGAAGGTTTCGTCGACAGGTGCGTATACATCTAATCTGATGTATCGATTTTTGATTCTGTCTGGTAGGGAATGTGCGACGTTATGCAGAACTGAAAACTTTCTTCAAATGATGGCATACGCCATTTCATTTCAGTAGTTGTACAGCTGGTGATTTTAGTCGTCAAATGCTTCGACGATACATAGACTGAATAAGCTTATACACGTAAAACATTTTAAGTATTTTTATCCATTCCTCTTGAATGGCCTTGATTAGATCGTTTTTGTTAATTGGCCTCTGTTTCCTATTCGCTTCTTTAAAAAAGCCCACAAATTTTTAATTGGGTTTAGGTCAGCACTCAGGGCAGCGGTTTCAATGACATTGTTGCAATTGTACTGCAGCCAAGTCCTTTGGGGGGTCTACGAAACCAAACTTTATTGCGCTCCTTGACACTTCATTCTTTAGAATGTCCAAAAAAGTCTCTTTCGTCATCATATCATTGAAAATGCACAGTTAGTATTATATTTTTTGTTCCAGAGCAGTTTTGGGCTTCCTCCAAACATTGCTGGGTCCGCTATGATAGTATAATATTCTTTTTGTCTCATCACCAAAAATAACGTCAACCCAGTACCATTGGCAATAGAACAATTAAGCAGTCTCTGAATATTAAATGCAGACAGTAATGACATCTTTCTGGGTATTTCAAGCAGTACCTGTCCATTTTTAAAACTTTACAAACTGTCTATTGGATCACTGTTTTCTTGCAATCATTTTTAAGTCCGATGATAATAATCAAATAATAAATTGTTTGCAGAGTTTCGTTGTATTTTAATAAATACAGGACATTATCGATAACAAATAGTTTTCGGCAATTACTATTGTGAATGTGCAAGCACTAACCATACAATGTATGGTGGTGCAAGTGTGTGATAGACTCGTATTAAAAACCGTATGTGTGCGAATACCATTCGCACAGCTGATGTGAAATATGGCCTCGACCATTTGAATGAATGAGAATTGAGTAATATATAAAAAAAGCTGAATTGACACCTTGAGCTTTTTTTTACCGTTTTAAAAAACACGAGACAGATCGGGTTGATCCGCAAACACAAAATTAAACCCAAAAAAACAGCTCATTTACCATAGGAAGCAACAACGAATCACTTGCAAGACAATAACAGTGCGCACGAAACCCAATTTGTTCTTCATCTTCCGTTTTGATCAACAAGAGGTTTGGGAGCCATGATGAGAACATAGGAAACATAGTGCAAAGAAAAGGGACAAATAATGTAACTGTGTTCTTTGCGGATTTGCCTGTCGTTTCTATAAGCCAGATGTTAGAAACAACATCAGCAAAATTTGGGTACCAATGTTGTTGTTGCAGAACCGAGTCTCGACGCAAGTAGGTAGATAAAAGGTATGAAAATTTGAATCCCAGCAGGCCATGGCATTCAAATCAAAGGGTTACGCGCACGGGGCACCATCATATATTATGAAGTCACATTTCATAGAATTGTATTTCTTGTGATGATTAGTACACATTTCTAACTTTATAACGTACATTTAAATATCTTATGAATGTGGTATTTTAACGTATATAATAAGCTTTGGACTGTGACGTAACATGTGCAACAGAACGTTGCAATCTTCTTAAATTTATAGATTTCCCTTGGCTTAGCAGATTTGCACCAACATATGAGAGATGAGACACAAATTGATACCCTTTTTTATAAGAATGGTATATAATTTATAAAGAAAACAACTATTATTGATTGTACCCATACTTGCACACTAAATAGGAATCAAATGTATATATAAGAAGGTTTGTGATAATTGGTTATATTGCTTATGAATAGTTTAAATACCCTATTCTGAGAAAAGGTGCCTTGCTGGTCGAAAAATGACGAATTATAAAAATCTGCCGATCTGCGTGCAAGATGAAAGCGATTGGTAAAGAATAAGACATGACTTATTCTTGAGTTAGAAGAGTTGCAGAAGCTAATATTATAGGCTGTAGCCTCAAACAAGAAAGGGATAGAAAGGGCAGATTTTGTGGTGTGCTTTTTTTATTGACAAGTCGTTTGTTTTGAAAATGTTTGTTGTTGGTTCTTATGGAAATGTTGTGTTGTGTTGTGTTTGCAATTTGATTTTGTAACCTCGTTTTGGCTCATGATGTATTTCGAAAAAGAGCTTTTGATCCAAACGCCTGTTCTTCCTGTTCTTATTTCTTTATTCTAAGAATTAATTGGCAGCGCAATATTTGCCTAATTTTATTTTTGTCTGTATTTTATATTTTTGTGTTTTGAGTTTTGGAATTTGTTGCCTTATTGAAAAATACTTACAATAATAAATTATATATGCAAAAAAGTTAAGAAAAATAGTTTAGGTTGGTAAAATATATGAAAGCTTAAGAAAGAATTTGTGTGATGTTTTTCATTTTGCAAAAAATAACTTGAGCTGCAAATATTCCTACTATCTCTATATATAAAACTGTTTGTCCTGACTGACTGACTGAAATTTTTACTGTAGTTGTTACCTTCTGTGATGAAGGTGCACGTTAAGACGGGGTTTTGGGAAATTCCACCCGCAAGTATGGAAAAATCGCGAAAAACGTTTGTATGAAACTTTTTTGTTTACCATCCGATTTGCCTCAAACTTAATATCAAAGTTCTTTGTTCAAATTAATTTGATGGTGTTTCATTCCAAAAATGTATTTCTCTTTGGTGAAAATGAAAAATATGATAAATCATTTGAGACGTGTTTCACATTTTTCACAAAATCTAAACTCCTTCGGTAGAAATGCGATTTAAAGATTTTTTGGGCGAAGTTTTAAGTGGTGTCCGATTTGCTTCATACTTATTATTAAAGGTCTACATAACATAACTTAATGAATTCGTGTTCCAGCAATTTGGAAAAATTCCACCCACAACAGTGGTTAATTAGCGAAAAGCGTTGGTCTGAAACTGTTAAACTGTTGCTAAAATTCATTATAGAGGTGTTTTACACTTTTCGAAAAATCCATTCCTCCTTGGTGGAAATGGGATAGGGGTGTTTCACACTTTTCGAAAAATCCATTCCACCTTGGTGAAAATGGGAGACAAAGATTCGGTGGGTGGCCTTTTTGCCTTCAAATTCGTTTGCATGGATCTACATAAAGAATCACTTGAGACTTGTTTCACATTTTTTGCAAAATCTAAGCTCCTTCGAAAAGTGCATTTTAAAGTAATTTTTTGAGAATTATAAGGTGTGTCCGATTTGCATCAAACTTATTTTCAAAGCTCAATATAAAAATATAATGAAATTCCACTCGGAACAGTGGTGACATGGCGAAAAACGTTTGTATGAGAGTAGTTTGTTTACTGTCCGCTCAGTTTCAAAGCTATTCGAGAACATTGGTTTTATAACATAAGTGCAACGGGCAATGCCGGGCTATACCCGCTAGTTTCATATATTTATACAAACTAATTTTTTACCCATGTACAAATCAATAAAATGCTTGCATCTTATAGTCAAACGATGATTTTTAAAGTAGCCTTTAACACTTATATATTATATTTAATAAAATTAGTATTCATACTTACTGGTAAAACAATTTATCAAAATATTCCATCGCACGTTGTAAATCTGTTCGAACCATTTGTATTATTTTAATGACATTTTGCAATTTATTTTCATCGGATCCACTGTCTTTCGTTAGATTGCTGCCTTCAATAATATGTTCCATCCACTCTTTCGCTCCACTATTTATTGCATCAACGATAGCGGTATCGATGTTGCATGATGCGTTAGAATCCATCCAGCCATAGACTGATTTAGGGAATATTTCAACTGTTGCTGGCACTTCAAAAGTTTTCAGTTTCGATAGAATATCTAATACTTCAGAGAGTGCTTTTAGTATTTTGTTATCACTGATGTTTCTGGAGCGTAGTTGCCGTAATACCGAAAAGCAAGATGGCAGCAGCCTTTTTGCACCTTCCCAAAATATTTTAAGGTCCTCAGAGTCTTTTTGTAAACAGTTAATTACTGAAATTAAAACGTCGAGTATAGAATTGAAGAGTACAAAACTAAGCTTGTGAGTCTCATGAACAGTACTATATGCATGCCATTGACAAAGTGCACAATCGAAGGAAGAGAGTCCACCTTGAACAGCGTGTTGAGTTCTAATAGCTTCGGCCATGGAGCTAAATTTACCGCTCCACCAATAGTTGGCCACTTGGGATGTATCCAACTCATGCATGAGTAACAATTTTAAAAGGTGTTTATGTTCTTGGATAGCTACATTTTTATTTTTTTCGGCACTTATCGCAATGTTCACTAAAACAGATCCGCGACTCTTTGTTTTATTTCCTTTTTCCAGATTATACCAAACTGTGAGTCCAGAAACTGGAATAGACTTTAAAAATGTAAAATTATAAGGGAGTGAAATTATGTCATAATAACTCATATTTGTCTAATTGAAAATTGGTCAAAAGAGGTTTAAAGAACTGATGCAACATATATTTACATCAGTTCCTTAGAGCAGGCAGAAGGATGGAAGACCAAACCCTTTAATTATATTTACTATTGATATTGTATGTCCCTCGAAAGCGTCGAGCCACTCCTATAATATATTTAGATGCAGCATCTAGATGCGACATATTTACCCGTAACATCATTTTTGCATTGGGGCGCAGGAGAGAGTAGTAGTAGAACTCGTTGTATATAAAAAGCCTCATACGAACAGATAAAACAGGTAAAAGTTTCTAGTCAGGAGCTCCCGACTAGGGAATGCCCTAAGCGCTCTTATTCCAACACTAAATGCAGTTCACGCAACGCGCTCGTTTGAAGTAATACACATAAATTAAAAAAAAAAACTGCCCTTAGCAAGGTTCGAACTCGCAACTGACCTCAATACTTGCTGACGACTCTACTATAGAGACAAACCAGCAAAAATCAAGGAAGAGATTCTAGTCGAGAGATCCCGACTAGGGAATACACTGAATCCTCTTAATACAACACCAAATAAATAAAAAAAAAATACTTAAGAGGTTCTAGTCGGGAGCTCCCGACTACGGAATACCCTGAACCCTCGCATTCCAACACCAAACTAATTTAAAACAAGTAAGAGGTTCTAGTCAGGAGCTCCCGACTAGGGGATACCCTGAACCCTCTTCTTCCAACATCAAATGCATATAAATATTCCATTTTAGAAGCTATATGTCAACTTTGGGGACTCTAGCTCTTATTATTTACCAAAACGTAAAGTATTCATATTTCGGTTGAAATAATGATTTTGAGTATAAGTAAATATTTTTAAATTTTAATCCATTTGGACTCTCTATTAAGCTGATCATTAAATTATTTTTTCCGCAATTAGATGGGCCTACAATTAATCCTCTAATTGAGTTTGGTAATATTAGTTTTACTGGGCGAAAAATCAATATTTCTCACTTCTATAATCTTTTTTTGCTTCTTTAAATGCATATTTAATGATTTTATTCTCGCAAATGAATATGATTCACTGCTATACCTTCAACGATTAAGTATCAATTAAAATGCCCATTTATTTTTATAAAAGATTCAGTCTTAAGCCAAACGCCTATTGTGGAGGTAGTCTAGCTAAGAAAATAATTAATAGCCTTCCGATTGAATTACATTTGCCTGGCTATCAATTCTGTGGACCAGGCACGAAACTAAAAGAGCGCCCACAGCGTGGTGATAGAGGTATTAACCCATTAGACGCAGCTTGCAGGGAGCACGATATAGCATATTCAGAAAACAAAGAATTAGCTAAACGGCATATAACTGATATAAAGTTAGCTAATAAGGCTTGGGAGAGAGTCAAAGCGTCTGATAGCAACATTGGAGAAAAGCCTGCTGCATATTTTGTTACGAACGCAATGAAAACAAAAAAAAACATTAGGTATGGGTATCACTAGAAGAAAAAGAAGAAACGTAAAAAAGAGAGGTAATAAGAAAAGAGCAACAATTTGCTCAAAAAAGAAAAGATTTATGCAAGCGGTTAAAGCAGCTGATAAGCTATTGAAAAGGGAAAGATGTTGAGAGTGCAATTAAAATAGCTCGGATATATACACAAATATATACACAAATCGATTGGTTCAACAATAAATAATGAAATAGCAATTCCTCGAGTGATAAGCGTTCCCAAAGTTTGCGGCTTCTTACCGCTAATACCCATCTTAACAGCCCTAGGAGCACTTGGTGGACTTCCATCGGGTGGGGCATCTATTGCAAAAACAATCACAATCGCTAAAAATGCCAGACAACAATTAGAGGAAAATAAACGGCATAACCGCTCAATGGAAGCTTTTGCGTTAAGCAAGGAATTTTATCTAAAACCTTATCGAACGGGCTACGGAATAACAACTAATCATTCTGAAAAAAACTACTAAGTCAGCTACCCAATAAACCTCTCTCAAATATTGATGTAATGAAATTTTCTCGTAGGCATATTCCATATTTCAGAGGTGTTTTTATGAGAGATTCCCTCCCCAAAAATAAGTGGAACAATTAAGAGGTTCTATCCGGGAGCTCCCGACTAAGGGATACCCTGAACCCTCTTCTTCCAACATCAAATGCATATAAATTCTATTTTAGAAGCTATATGTCAAGTTTGGTGACTCTAGCTCTTATTATTTACCAAAATGGCCCAAAAAACAGGATATCGAAATCAATTTTTATCGACTGCTTAGAAACGGAGTAAGTTATCGATTATCGGAAAAAAACTCGATCTGCGCGGGAACTAGGAGCAGCTACATCTAAATTTCCGTCCGTCCGTATGTATGAACGCAAGGATCTCAGAACCTATAAGAGACTTGACATTTTAGTCGTCACCAAGTAATGCGGTCAAATGCGAGCTCGAACCTTGCTATGGGAAGTTTTTTTTTTTTCATTTATATATTTCATTCATCATGCTTCCTTCTGCCTGTTACATACATTTAGATTTTGCACAAATATAATATACCCTTCTACCCATTTTTAATGGGTTCAGGGTATAATCACCGAAAAAGTTTCGATTTTCGCACCGACCTCTATTTTGAAAAAAAGCGTGGTGCCATTTTGTCGATTTGGGTCAAAATTTTGGATTTCCTTTTTTTTATGACAATCGATACAACTGATCCTTACGAGTCAAAAATGGTATAAAATTCCAAAATCGGACATTATTTGACGGAAATATTCCAAACAATCATAAAAAAGGTGGACTTGTTGTTGACTGGTTGACTGTAAACGATGCTTAATTTGCTTGAATGCCAATTGATTGTAGGGATTCGTATAAAATTTTAAAAGCAGACATTGAATTAAGCACGTATGATAAAAAAGGAACTTAAATAGCATTACAGAAAAAAGTCGCAATAACCTTGCTGTTAAAATGCGAAGCAGACGCGCATGAATGTGTGTTTGTACATGTATGCAGAAATTCTTAAGGATGGTGCTCTATTCAATTGCGCGGTTGCAAATAACTTTGGTTTTTTTTTAACCGATCTTAATGAAATCTACAGTATATCGTATTGTATCATAGAATATTTGTTTATACTGAAAAGGTCATTTGCAAATAAATTTTGGCTTAAATTGGTTGGAAATAAAAGTTGGGTTATTAACTTGATTTATAGCTCTGGGGTGGTAGCGGAGAGGTGGCCATAGGTATAAAATGAAAGATACTTGACAAATATATAATATTTTAGAAGCAACATATCATGTTTCGTTACTCTAGCTCTTATTAATTACCAAAATTACCCAAAAAACAGAATAGCGATATCGATTTTTATCGATTGCTTGGAAACGAAGTAAGTTATCAATTATCGGAATTAAACTCGATCTGCGCAGGTACCAGGAGCACCTACATCTAATATTTCAAGTCTTTAGCTCCTATATAGGTTCTGAGATCCTTGCGATATATATAGATCTGAGATACATACGGACAGACAGACGGACATGGCTAGATCGACTCGGCAATTGATGCTGTTCAAGAATATATATACTTTATGGGGTCGGAGATGCTTTCTTTTGCCTATTACATACATTTGGATTTTGCACAAATACAATATACCCTTATAGGCATTTTTTATGGGTTCAGGGTATAATAAAATGTAAGTGGGCCATCATTTGGCACAAACTTTTTCAATTTGCGTGATTTATTGGAAATAAAATCCAAAAACACATAGGTGAGAAATATTAAAATTGCAGTAATTGTGTTCCCAACTTACCTGGAGTAACACAATTTTGCATCCATCAGCAATTTGCAATAAACTCTCCTCTGTCAGCATTCATTTAATTTACTGTTGTTAATTTCCCCTTGAAATTGTGTTGTTATTATTGTTGACTGTATAGTTCATGAACAGCTCGTTTCTCAGGTACAGAGACCGCTCTGCGAGGGGTTCTGGGTCAGACGAGTCCACCTTAGATAGAGAAGCAGTCCCGCAAAAAAATGCTGATAACAGTTGTAAAATAGGAATGGAGCCTGAGCAGCTTAGGGCTTTGGTGCAAGCCGCAGTGGCCTCCGCCTTAAAAGCAAAGAGCGCAGTATTGAAGCAAGGAGACGCAGAACTGAAGGCTTACTTAATCGCTCGGATACAAGAATTGGCAGGTAGAATATCTGCCAGTAGTAAAAAAACATCGCCGGTCCAGGCATTTAAGACGGTGAAAATCAGGAACGACGATCAACGTAATGAATGGACGCCGTTAAATGCTTACTGGAATTTACGGGGGTGTCAAAGACGTACGCATCTTGGAGACAAGCTTCGATAGCGGCATACAACATTTACAAGCCATACGACGGCAGCTCACGCCACTACAAGGCGGTCGTTATTATTAAGACCAAAATTAGAGGGGCAGCTGACGGCGTTTTGGGTCAGTTGGGCACAGTAATGAATTTTGATTCCATAATAAACCGTCTCGTTTTCACATACAGGGATAAGAGAGGCATTCATGTCATAGAGCAAGAGATGAGCACCCTTAGAATGGGCTCACTATCTATTTTACAATACTATGACGAGGTTGAGAAAAAGCTTGCTCTTCTCACCAATAAGGTCAACATGTCCTACAAACCAAGCATGGCACAAGGGCTCTGTACGAAGTTGTTTCAGGCCGAAAGCGTAGCCTCACGGATGTCTTGTTCAAGGCAAAGCCTAAGGACCTGCCGTCGGCACTAGCTCAAGGGCAAGAGATAGAGGCGAACCATGAGAGGTACCCCTTTGCTCCTAGCTTCGCTAAAGGGCAAGATGATAGGGAACGATAAGTGACCCCCAGGCCGCAGGTCCTTCAGCAAGATAGGGGTCAACAGCAGGGGGATCCGCAACACAGCGGCTCCAAAAATCCTTACTTCACTAAACAACAGAAACAGCAACAAAGTCAATTTGAGCAACAGAGTGGCAGGTGGAACAAAGGTGGCGGGTC